AAAACGCCCTTATACGGCCAAAATCGTGATCGGATAAAGTTATCACAATATCCGGCCAAAATGGCCACAGGAACCGGATAAAAGCTGGTTTGGCCGGATGAAAATACGGCCATACCGTATTAATCCCGTCTGTGGCTCTAGACACATGGTGGAGGAGGGGGGTTGGGTGGGTGGGTGGTGTTGGGAGGGTGGGAGGGGTGCTTCAGGAGGGACCACCTGGGTACAGGAATTACCATTAATTTTAGAACAATTAATCATAGCCAAAAACTAATGAAATAAGTACTAGTAATTATGTAATAACAAATAAATAAGTTTCCTAAAAGCATTGTGCACAGGCTGAAGTTTCCTTCAAAAATATTGTGAATTTTTTTCCTCCTGGTGGCCTACGTAATGTGCTATAGCTGCCCCACCCCAAGTGGACCCGTCTAACACTGGTCAACCCATGTGCGTCCGTCCCTCGTGTTATACACAGTGCTGCGCCATTAGTGAAATATTTTTTTAAATAACTTTTTTATTTTCATAGTAACTTTGAACATTTTTGGCCAAGACTATGTCTGGTAGCAGCATCAATCGTTCTGGAGGTGTTAAGAGGAAGAAAGTTGTCCTAACAATTAAAGACAAGTCACTGTTATACACCTCAACCAGTGCGGCCTCACAGTGTTGCGCCATTAGTGAAATATTTTTTTAAATAACTTTCTTAATTTTCATAGTAATTTTGAACATTTTTGGCCAAGAATATGTCTGGTAGCAGCATCAATCGTTCTGGAAGTGTTAAGAGGAAGAAGATTGTCCTAGCAATTAAAGACAAGTTACGTGTTGTTCAACCAGTGAGGCGTCACAGGCAGCCAAGCGCCTTCAACAAGTGAGGCGCCACAGGCAAGCCAAGCTCCTTCAACAAGTGAGGCATTACAGGCAAGCCAAGCGCTTTCAAAAAGTGACGCGCCACAGGCAAGCCAAGTGCCTTCAACAAGTGAGGCGCAAGCAAGCGCCTTTAACAAGTGAGGCGTCACAGGCAAGCCAAGCGCCTTCAACAAGTGAGGACATGCAAGCGCTTCAACAAGTGAGGTGCAAGCAAGCGCCTTCAACAACCGAGGCCTCACAGGCAACCCAAATGCCCTCAACCAGTGAGGCTTCAGCAGCTGGAAGTCAAAACTAACTTAGCTTAATGAACTGTACAGTAATTTTAAGTGTTAATTTTAGTGTTGTGTTAGTATAGGTTACGTAAATTGTTAAGAATTTTTAACTTCAAGATGTGTGGCATCAATCAAGAAGACGAACACCAACAAGGTAAGTTGAGGTTTCTAGTTGAATATTTAATAATTGTATGTGGCAAGGCAATTCAAATTATGTTGTTTGTGTTATAAAAATAGTTGGAAATGGTCACTTTTGGACTCGTAGGTGAAAAAGTACCATTATCCGAAAAATGTGATAATCCGGCTGGGGGTCCTTCCCATATAGTCCGGATGATCGAGTGGAGACAGTATCTACCTGTTTTATTCACCATACCTGAACAAATAAGCTGGTATGGTGCCCAAAGACCATAGTGGCCATCAGTAAACACCATGCCAAGACGTGCAGACGACGCTCCTCCCTCACCAAAATGGCGGCTCCCAACCTACTCCTCTCGCTGTTATCACACTTTTTACACACGTTATATATAAGTATCTACATTTGTGTTCACCATATCGAACCACTAAGCTGGTATGGTGAGTGCAGTCAATAAATGGTGGCCACACACAGTCAGAAGACGACGCCACAACCCTCCCTCGCACAGCCTTACGCCTCCCTCCATGGAGCACAGCGCTAAATATCACCACAATCCTGCTATTATCAGAATGCTGGTCAGTTTTATCACAGTCAGGGGGCTTCAGTAATACTATCACTGCTAAATAATAGCAGTATCATATATACAGGCATACCTCAGAATAAGAGTTTAATCCGTTCCTGGAGACGCTTCGCCTTCCGAAAACTCGCATTCCGAAGTTAATTTCCCCATAAGAAATAATGGGAAATGAATTAATCTGTTCCTGACTACCCCAAAAACCCCACATCAAACTAAATTTTTATACCTAATTTACCTAATTCATCTAAATAAACCTACAAAACTGTGTTCCAGTTATTACTTACCTTGCTGTCGAGTGCTGTAGGCGTATGGAAGATGGTGAGGAGGGGGGAGGAGGAGAGGAGTTACTGTTTGGAAGGGGAGTCCCCTTCCATAATCACATCACATAACCCCATGCCTTGTAACACTATGGATACCACTTCTCTTTCTAAATTTTTCAAACCAGCCCCTGCTTGCCTTAAACTCTTTCTTATCTGCATCACTCGTTGCAGGGGTATTCTTTAGAAGGTCTTCGTGCAACACCCTGGCTTTCTCACAAATAATGGCCTCCGAAACACTATCACCCCTCAACTCCTTGTCGTGTATCCAAATTAATAACAACTTTTCCACTTCTTCAAGTATTTGTGGTCTTTGTGCCGTTAATGTTCTTACTCCTTTTGCCACTTTAGCACCCATAATCTTATTTTTCTTCTTAAGTATAGTGCATATTGTTGATGTGGCTTTGTTGTACTGCCTACAAAGTTCAACAACACGTGTACCGTTCTCATGCTTCCGAATGATCTCTTGTTTCTCCTCTATTGTCATCCTCACATGAGCTTTCTGGCCTTTATCCTTACCACTGGCTTTCTTGGGACCCATGGTGAGATATATAATAACAAATTGTATAGACAAATCACCAAAAATCCAACAAAACACTGAAAATCCGCGAGAATTGATGTGGGGGTAGTCACTGAGCGCGAGACAATAATAAACTGAGGGGCGGAGGGGCGACGATCGCCGAACCACCACGTGCTAGGTCGGCTGTACGCGTATCAACAAACTCGCGTCCAAACTCGCCTCCCGAAGTAACCATCGCCTTCCGAGACAAATTTTTGGAGTAAATACACCTCGCCTTCCGAAAACCTCGCATACAGGGACAATCGCATTCCGAGGTACCACTGTATTATGGTATTTGTAGGCGATGCTGTGGTCACAAGCTGAACAGCGGTGCTGTGAGCTCGTGCTGCATGCGCCAGCCTTGGTGGCTTGCTCAATACTGACGCTGTAACACCCAAGAATGATGTTGGCCTGGATTTTTTTTCTAGGTGGCATCTGGCAACTATCGGTCGTGGCTGTACTATAGCTGCCCCTATCCCAGACGGGGAGTTTAAATTATAGCGCTAGACACAAAATCATATATAAATGATGTGCGCGGTTTCGGTTTTGTCACTGATATCATTTATATATGATATGCGCGGTTTGAGGGTTAAAACTTGTGTATATAGAATTGAACATGAAAACTTCATCCTGAAATTTTGAGTGTTTTAACAGAAAACAAGTAGAATATATGGGGAGGTAAATGTAATGGCACAAGTAAGTGTAATTATGTACTATTCCTAGCAGTCATGAATTGTACTTATTACACTTAGTATTAAACCGTACTGTCAATTCGGAGAATGCGTTGTAAAATGTAAGGGATAGCCAAGACGAGAGAGACCCATAAAGAAAAGAAATTTTAGAATCAAGAAACTGAGGGTTACTATTGCATAGGGCCTAAAAGAGGAGGTAAATGAGAACATTTCTTAACACTGTTGTGGGGCCCCCTTCGATCGCTAGACCTTTCCTAGTGGTTTTGGGCGTTCTGCGGGAGCTCGTGGTAATACTGAAAATTGTATACTCTTTTTCAACTTTGTCACCTTAATTCTCGTCCTAGGTTTTTCAGTTTTGTATCAATGTGTTTGCAATAGAATGCTCTACAGGACTAAAAGCATATACACTCCAAAAGCCCGGCTTACTACCCGCAGCAAATAGAGAAAGTGAGAGAAAATTACAAGGGAGCGAGCAAGAGCGATAAAATGTGTACACTCTTTCACTTTGGTCACCTCAATTTTTGTCCTAGGTCTTTCCTTTTTGGTATCAATGTGTTCGCAATAAAATTCCCAACAGGAGTATATGCATATAATGTCAAAAACCATGGCGTGCTCCACCCGCCGACGTGATGAAAGCAGGTGGTGAGAGCAGGGAGGAGCGCTGGGCTTTCCATTAGAGAGAGCGGTAATACTGAAAAGTGTATACTCTTTTCAACTTTGTCATCTCAATTCTCATCCTAGGTTTTCCAATTTGATATCAATGTGTTCACAATAGAATTCTCTACACGATTAAATGCATATGAAGTCCAAAAGTCCAGCGTACCACCCGCACAAAACAGAGAAATTGAGAGAAAGTTACCCGGGAGCGCTAAAGAGCAATGAAATGTGTACACTCTTTTCACTTTGGTCTTTCATTTTGTATCATTGTGTTTGCAATAGAATTCCCTACAGGAGTATATGCATATATAAAGTCCAAAAGCGCAGCGTACCACCCAAAGCAAACAGAGAAAGTAACAGTGCGTTACCCCCCATGAGTGCTCATCAAGAGCAATAAAGTGTGTTTACTCTTTTCAACTGTGTTACCTCTTTTCAACTTTGTTACCTCAATTCTCGTCCTGGGTCTTTCATTTTGGTATCAATGTATTCACAATGATATTCCCTACAGGAGTATATGCATATAATGTTCAAAATCGAGTCGCGCTTCTCCCGCATCCAAGCCGAAAGCTGGCCAATATATTTTTTTATTTTTGACGCATTACTTCGTTATGAGTGGAAATAAGGTACAGTACTAAAATTTTTACTCCATACTTCATCATTGGTGGGCGAAAGTGTTATCAGGAGAAGGGTGGTAGGCAAGGAAATTAATATACTGTACTTACCACTGTGCATGGGCTTACAGTAGACAGAGAAGGAAAAGCCACACACAATTGTGATCATGTATATCTAGCAAAGGAATGAGGTAATTAGATTACCATTCAACTTTGTGCATGCAAAGAGGGTAGTTTGCAAGGGGAGAAATCATTAATGTATATTTATAAATAGAGTATTTTTAAATATATTTTAGATTATCAAGACTTTCTTATTTTCAGGTTCAAAGAGTCTCACACTACCCGAGCGGTTACTGCATATTCTACAGAAGATGTATAGTCCGGATAGTGAGGATTCCTTCCTCCATATAGCCATATACATTCTGCTGGAAGCAACGAGTCACTCTGCAGACTACCAGCGTGACATCTTTGACATTCCATTGACTATGTGCAAATTCAGAGTAAGAAAGTCATCATAGATTTCACTAACTAAACACCACCTGACACCTGCTATCACTCCCTATCCCAACCAACATACACTCTCTCCACTCAACTGGTACCTCAACCATCCAACACCAAACCAACAACTCTACACCCCAAAGAGTAAAGATCACAACACTTGCCAACAAAAGAAAACTTTTGAATATTTTTTTGGCACCTTTGTTTTCTTGGCTTGAATCAGTGACCTTGTTTTTGAAGTTGCTGGTGTCAGGAGTTCCTCTTTGTCAATTTAGTCGGTTCCTGTTATGACCACCACTTATAAAATAATATCCTCTCTTTCTTCTATCTTCTAGCGTTGGCATATTTAAAATCTCTAGCCTCTCTTTGTAAATCTTGTCTTTCAGGTCTGGAAGTCTTTTGTAGCATGCCATTGCACCTTTTCCAGTTTATTGATGTGCTTCTTGAGATTTTGGCACCATACAACTGCTGCATATTCCAATTTTGGTCTCATCAAAGTCATGAACAGTTTCTTTAGTATTTCACCATCCATATAATTAAAAGCGATTCTGAAGTTCGACAGCAACACACATGCTCCTCGCACAATGTGCTTTTGTGTGTTCCTCTGGTGACAGTCTTCTATCCAAAACTTTTGTTCAAGATTGCTGCCTCTGGAGGTCCAAAGAATCCATTCGTACCCAACTAATGTACGGGTCAACTTCAGAAGCAATTTTGAAGTTGGAAAGCAACACACGTGCTTCTCGCACAATGTGCTTTTGTGTGTTCCTCTGGTGACAGTCTTCTATCCAAAACTTCCCATAGATCTCTTTGTTAGAGATCTTTAACCACTGGACTGCGCTGGCCTAGAAAACCCGTTTAGCAAAAACTATGTAGACTGAGAACACACCAATTTAAGATTTTGTACCCATTCAAAATACACCCTTTCAGTAGGTTGAGTATGAATGGATTCTTTGGACCTCCAGAGGCAGCAATCTTGAACAAAATTCTTAGATTTCCCTAGAGTTGCTGGCTGGATCAGTTCTGAATGAGCAATCACGGGGTGCGTACACGCGCTTGTGGCTCCCAAACCCGTCAGACGCAGTGTTGAAAGATCACTCTCCATCGGTGAAATTCGGACCTTATTGTTTGAAGGACATAAGGGTCATGAAATTGATGAAGCTAGGTGCAGTAAGGACCTAACACAAGGGTCGGATTCAAGTGATACAGCACCAATGAGGACGATACAGCGAGCGTATCCAGTAGTGGCTGAGCACCACCCATATCGTCTCTAATTTTTATATATGATACTATAGATGAATCGTTTTCTAGGTTCAGTGATACTTGTCTGATACAAGTAGCATATGAACAGTGTTAGTGACTTCCATGGTGGTATTTATTGATATTTGTGCAACACATCCTCCGAATTGACAGTACGGTTTAATACTAAGTGTAATTAGTACAATTCGTGACTGCTAGGAGTAGTACATAATTACACTTACTTGTGCCATTACATTTACCGCCCTATATATTCTCCTTGTTTTCTATTAAAACACTCAGAATTTTAGGATGAAATTTTCATGTTCAATTCTATATACCTGTACACAATTTTTAAATATAAAGAATTTATTTTTCAGTTTTATTAAACAATAGAGATTTTATACAAAATTTGAAAATATCCTGAGTTACTTTATAGTTTATTGAAAGATTTTAGTTTTGTTTTATTAGTTTTATAGAACTGTAATATCAATGTAGCTATAGGTTAAGTACTAATTGTAATTAAGAAGCAATAAAATGCTTGGCCTCATACACTAAGAAGGTTAGGTTAGGTCGTGGTTTTCTATTCAGCTTTTTAGGTAAACTCAAATATTCACAATATTATGGTGCAATTCTGGTGATTATTTGACAGTACAGTTTACTACTAAGTGTAATAAGTACAATTCTTGACTCCTAGGAATAGTACATAATTACACTTACTTGTGCCATTACATTTACCTCCCCATATTCGGAGTATGGGCTGATTTGTGGCAGTGGCAATACAAGGAAGGAGCATGGGTGAATTCGTGAGGGAAGTCTGTGATAATTTTGTAATACACAAAATCACAATTTGATGGTTCTGATGTTGATGTTGCACCCACTTTCCCATAAACAGGTGAAGATATGAATGATACCAGGATAGAATTTTGTCATTGAGCTTTTCCTAGATCTTTCAAAGAATATCTGTATTTTCTCAATCTTACCTTATAAAGCGATCTTGTCAAGAATAGCTGAATCTCTTCTAGAATACCTAAATCTTTTCAATCATGCCTTATTATGCTATCTTTTCCAGACTACCTTACAAACTGATCTTTTCCTATAATCTTTTCAAGACTACCTTACACTTCACAAGCTTGGCTACATACCACCTACAGGTATTAAAGCCAAGGGTGTACACGAGTACATTATTTGCAAGCACACAGAACGAAGAAACAGGAAGCGAAAATATGCTTGTACCTTGTGCATCAAGTGCAAATTCGTGCTGTGTACCATGGGCTGCTTCTTTGATTATCACTCACTTCTGAAGTACTGAGTGTAATACAGTGTATGACTGTATAAATAGTGTGTGAAAGTGTACATATTCTAAATTTATTGAATATTGAACAGGTAATATTGTGCTAATGAACATTTGTTATGGACATATTTCTAACACGTTTATCACAGTTCCATGGAACATTATGACATTCTACTGTACAGTATATATAATGTAAAGGACACAAATGTGCATCATATACGATAAAAAACTAATTATAAATCATTGAAAATACATAGAAATAACCAGCATTGAATGTAATGAAATGCCATTTTCTGGGTGAGCCCCCGAATGCTCCCTGGAGCTTATCAGGCTAATGTATGTTATATTAGACCGGGACATTAGCTATGGAGTTCAGACCTACCAGGGACCATGACCCAGAACCTGACCCCTTCAGAGTGTGGGAAATCTGGCTTCAAAATAATGCTAATAAATCTCATAAATTATGTGAAGGACCATCTTTTGAAAAGAAATAAATTGGAGAACCAGTGTCTATGGATCTCGTATATAAACATAAATGAAAACCATTACTGTATAATAAATGAACTGTAGTTATTATAAATTACGGAGCCAAATCCCTCCACATGCTCTGGGGGGATTGATTAGTACAGAAATTAATGCATTTCAAGTACAAATAAATGAATATTGATACACATGAAATATTGAATAAAATATGAAATATTGAATGTTTCCTTAAAGATCATTTGATTAATAGAAAATAATATTCTACAAAACTACAAGAATGAAATAACAGCTTAGCTGTATGAAGGAAAGGTAGCATGCATCTGGATATATTCGTGACGAGAAACTTGTTTCATCAGGCTATCCTGGGAACACGTGATTGAGATGTCGACTTTCTTTCTTATTACCAATAAATTCCAAGCTGAAAAGTTAGTAACATGTAAATACTATCTAGAGAGTTATAATACAACATATATTTCTAAATGAAATTAAATCTAAATTATATAAAGGGCGTAAGCCACTTGTAAAACCAAACTAAATCGGCAAATTCACTGCCAACACGATAACTCTCCCTACCTTCATATATATCAAAATGTTCCCTGAGCATCGGAGAACGTGCAGGTTGCAGAGATATGACTCTTGATGCCGGATAGGAAAGATATAGGGGTGGGACACCGTAGCATACCCCTCCCCTTAAGATAAGTCATATCTAATGAAGAGCACTTAAGAGGGCCAATGGTGTTCTTGCTCCCTCTGTTTCTGACGTGCCTCTCCTCCAGTCAGTGACATGGCTTGTACCACCTCGCCAGTCACTCATTATATTCCTCCACCTTACATGGTACCGGGTGAGGTGGGTGTTCCCAGAACATCTATAAGGGGTCCTCCTCCTGTGTCCCCGAGTACGTTCCCACGACTCGTTATCCTTATAAAACTTTGTGTATGTAATGCCTCCATTACGCTGTGCACTCTGAGGTACCCCTGCACCTCCACTGCATCCTACAGGTACTTCTTGCTTTCTCACATGCTCTTCTCTTTGCTAGTCTCCCCTCTTCTAGGCTCCTCTTCTCTGGTAAGTGCATTGTCTCCTCCCAGCGACACGTGTTACCTGTCCTTCGCCCAACAACTTCCTCTCATCCACACTAGGCTTTTGCGATGACTCGGTGCCCCTCTGGCTAGGCTGGCGCCTACCCTGGGTATACCTGTTCGCTGCTTTCTTCTTACTACTGCCATTCCAATACCATCCATTCCACTGCTCTCGACGAACGTCTTCATTCCTCCACGAAAGCTTCTTCCCTGCAAACGTCTTCGCAGGATTGTGGTCAGGCCCAATTACCTCACTGTGGCTCACCTCACTATGGTGGTGGTTCTTATCCCTACCACTAGTTTCCCGACTGGCGTAGGGTACAGCGCGTCGTGGCTCCTCCACTCTGTCACCTCACAGCCACTTGCTCACTCAGAGCTCACCTTGCTCACACCTCCAGGTGGAGGGAGTGTGGTCTGCAGCTCTTCCATCGCCCCAGGCATCTGTACTGCTGCCCCTCGCCAGTCCTCCACGTGCATCATTAGGCTTAGTCGCAAGGCCTCATTGGGGCTCTCCACGACCTCCGACGACCTCTCTGCACTCTCGCCCTTGTCGTCGTCCTCTCTGGTGACGTCATCATCGGTGCGGTCGGCTCCCTCACTGCTGCCTAAGTCGACCAGTACCTTCCCTAACAAGGTTTCACCACTGCCTGTTACATAGGTGCTCCTGGCCCAATCAGGTTGTACTCCGCTTCCACCTAAGTCGTTACCCAGCATCATCTGGACATGTTTCAGGGGTATCTTAGGGGCTACAGCTACAATAGCCTTTTAGACTCCATAGTCGGCGATTAGCTGCACCTCGTGAAGTGGTAACCTGCATTCCTGCCACACACTGCGTAGTCTCACTACTCCCACAGGTGACTCATCAAAATCCTTGGGAAGAATATCCCTGGCTACCATACTCATGTCAGCGCC